ACAAAAAAACGAAGTCCAGATGACATGATTCAACCTTTTTTGTTGTTTTATACCTGGATGACTGAGAAAACAAACTTTGTGTTTTTGTTTTGTAGTTTATATTATTGCTATATTTGTGTGTAACTGTGGCCTTGAGTAGTTTCGTTCCACCTCATGAACCACGTGCTCCGAATGACAATAAAGACACTTGAACCTTGAATCTGCTGCTAAATGTGAAATAAAAAAAATGAATCTAAGATCAACCGAGCACCACAGAAAAAGAGGTCAGCATTCAATCACAGCTTTTGCAAAACTTCTAGATGAGTATTGTTTCAACTTCTTTTTAACTCCAGTCTAAGACAGGGTGGCACGGTGGATCAGTTGGTAGCCGCTGCTGCTCAGCAGGAAGGATTCAGTATTGATTCTCGGCAGAGTGCCTTTCAGAGTGGAGTTTCCATGTTTGCTCCAGGTACTCCGGTTTCCTCCCACAGACCAAAAAATGAAAGTTAGGTTTATTTACAACTCTAAACTGTCTCTATAGTGTGAGTGAGAATGCTTGTCTGTGTGTCCCTGTGATGGACTGGAGACTTTTCCTGTGTCCCTCGCCTCTCACACAGTGGCTGCAGGACATTTCTGTAGGTTAACGAACACACGATGGCTGGAATCCAGTCACAAACGGAGCTGACAAACGTTGACCTTCATATGGATAAACCATCCATCCATTATCGTTTGCCCGCTTCTTCCTTTTCAGGTTGCGGGGGTCACTGGTGCTCATGTCCAGCAGTCACTGTGCGAGAGGCAAGGACACCCTGGACATGTCTCCAGTCCATCAGAGGGACATGTAGACACAATCATTCACTCTATCACTCACACCTAGGGACAATTTAGTTACCAATCAGCCTAACATGCATGTTTTTGGTCTGTGGGAGTACCTGGAGAAAACCCGCGCATGCATGGAGAGAACATGCAAACTCCACCCAGAAAGACCCCCAGCCGGGATTTGAACCGGGACAACCTGCTCGCCGAGAGGCAGCAGCTCTACCAGTTCTGCTCCACCGTGTCGTCCAACCACTGACGTGAAAATAACAACCGTGTGGATTTTGTCTCTTACTCTTTGAACTGGTCTTCATCACTTTGCAAGTTTGTTTTTCTAATCGCAGTAAGACGAGAACGTGTACATACATTTTATTTTGACTCGTCATTTACAAGAGTTAGGAGCACATGTTGGAAACAAAGCGCACAGGTAAAGTCAGGTGTGTGTAGAAGTCACTAATATGGCACTAGGTGGTGAGAGAAGAGTGTCATGAGCAAACACTGACAATCACACGCTGGTAACAGAAGGAGTATAATGTGTATACGCCAAGTATGAAATAATTCAAACGTAAAGGGAGAAGTAAACGTGTTGTGGTGTCGTCAGAAAGCAACAGCTCCAACCAGAAAACGCTGCCGGTGTCACCGAGCTGACTGTAAATCAAAGAGCTAAAGGAAGCAGCAGGTTCTGGCTCATTACACATGAACATCAGCCAATGGTGCTAAACCCAAACTGTAACGCTACCATCAGGATTCATCCAAAGAAAACGCATCATTTAGTTTTAATTACTGTCAAGGAGAAAAGACTTTTGAACAAAATGTGCAAAACACACAGCACCACATTGTGAACATGCTGTAAGACGTTCCTGCTGTTGGTTTTTACTCAAGTTGTGTAGAGTCAGGAGGTTTGATGGGAGTCAGTGATTCAGTGTTTTATGTGCAGGAAGGAGGCGTCATCACGTCACGATGATTAAAGTGCTTCAGGCAGATTTCTGACCTCGTCCCAAACGACAACTTGACCAAGTTCCCCTCGTCCCTCGTGTCTTCGTCGTGCCAGAGCCCCGAGAAAGTCTCCTCGTGAGTTCTGTCTCAGCTCCATCTGTTGCTTTACCGCCCGCCGCCACCAAAGACAAGGAATCCTGTAATCTCCTGCCTGTGTCTGTTAGCTAAATATCTTGTGAACCACTGGACTGAATTTAATGGCACTCACAAATTAACGTGATTCAAGATGGCTGCCACAGCTAATCAACCTTAGCAAACACAACAATGATTATGATTTGGTCCGTCTCCATAATCTGAACACTGAATGAGATGATGTGTTTAAAAGTGTGTGTTGAGAGGCGGCGGGCGATGTGCGAACCTCCAGGGGCTGCTCGCTTCATTTAACAAAGTGCTTACGAGCCAACGGGCAGGAAACAGTTTAATCAAACATCTTTAGGAGAGCCGACGTCTGAGCGGCAGACAAAAGGCATGCAGCGCATTTCCAGAGTCTCAGCACTTGGTCGCAGATGGCAAACGTCTAAAAATAAATCCCCATTAAAAAAATAACATGAAATAAAAAAGAAACGCTGCCTCGGAGAATGAGTCCTCACTCCGTTTCTCGTCAAAACCCTCCTCAGCTCCTCCTTCAGTTCGCTGCACTGAGATGAATTTGTTCACGTCGTATCGAAGGTGCACCACGTTCCAGAGGTCAGATTTCCCCGTAGAATAACTCTGAAACTCTTAATTTACTATTTACACATGGATGAGATTCTTCATGCTGGAAACTGCTGTTCTGACAACTCTTCTTTGAGCTGCTGGAGCTCAAACTGCACAGACTGCGGAGGAAGGAAAGTGTTAACAAAAAGCAAGTTACCGACGTCGGTTCAATGAGGTTGAAGAACCTGAGCGGTTACCTGATACGTGCTTCTTGTCGTTGAACGCTCGGCGTAGGCCTTAGGAAAACAAACTGCACAAACAACAGGTTTACTAACAGGCACAGTGAAGTCGAGGCGTACTGGATGATGCGGACAGAGCGACCACGTTTTTAACTATTTCTCTCAGAAGTTAAAGTAAATTATACACACAGCAAAGTTTCACCTTAAGGTAACAAAGTACCGCAGACGTTAAACCATTATACAGCAACGTATGGCAGAGGTACGGCAAGCAAAGACCTTCAATAATGTCAAGGGAATTTAGGTAAAGGTTTATGGATGTGTGTGTGTAACCAACTAATGTTAAATTAATGTGTGTGAGTTAGAGTCGTTTTTCCTCCTGCAGGTGCACGGAGGAGCATCTGATAACTCCAAGGCCTTCTCCGAGTCTGTACTTGACCTTGACGAGACCTTGACCTCTCTAAGCGGCTTTAAGACTCTGTTGGACTCCTGGCAAGGACCAATGCAGACATGTTCTGGTCCATTGTTGTCATTGTTCTTTGTTAAAAGCAGGTCTCTCTTGTAAATGAGTCCCTGAGGCTCAATGGGATTAACCTGTCTAAATAAAGGTTGAATGAAAAAAGATGGAAAGCCGAGCTCTGTCTGATAAGTGTGTATTATAAAACACTTCCTGCCTCACTGTGCGGTGCAGTTTCTCACTGACGAGACTCTAAGCATGTAACTGTGTACATCTGTGAAAGCTTTATAGTGACTGTCTAACCGTACCGGTTATAAAAATCTCCTTGTGTCCTCAGAGTGGCTGATTTGAGTAAAGAGATGATAAAAGGATATTTAGTTATCCAGCATATAACCTTTGGCCTTGATTTGTGACCTTGATCTTTGAGCTGGCGTGATGACAAGATGACGTGACATGCTGTACAGTGGTGGAACAGCTGTGCATCAGGTTTCATTAAATTGTCTTGAGCAGTTTAGAAGTTAAAGGAGAACGTTTCACATGTACGGACGGATGAGACTATCCCATAATAATAAAACGGTCAGGGATTCACACAGTCAGCGTCCTTTAGTGTGGTACCAGAGTGAAACTGAGCTTATTAAAAATGTAGCCACTTACCAACTTTCTCTCACAGCTTCAATGTCGCTCACAAGATTTTGAGCCAAACAGATCCCAAAAATCTACAAGCAGACAAGAAGCATTGCGAGGTCAGATCAAATGTTTAAAGGCATCAGATGTGACTAAACTTCTCCCACACTTTGAGCCCCACCTGCAACAGTGCGATTCCAATAAAGATGCCGGCCACCACGGTCAGGTTGTCTTGAAGCCACTTCTCAAACTGAGGGACGCAGCCTTTGATGTAGATGTAGGTTCTCTGCTCGGCGTCCTGGGGAAACGTTCACAAGTCCAAGGATTACAAACACATGGAAGCTGTCATTTTACTGGGTCGGCCCTGATAACAAAGACAGAACTGATGAGCTAATGGCTAGTCGGAGTGGTCAAAGAGAGGCCCAGATGGAGAAAAAAAAGTTACTGTTGTCTTAAAACTTAGAAATCTGTCAAAGTTGTTCTCGTGAACGTCGTTTTATGAACTTGTATCACCTCCGATATGCATTACTATGTAAATAGCTGAGTACAGTGAGACGGACGGAGGTGTAAATGTTTATAAATTAATATAAAGCCCCCAGTATACTGCCGCGTACATTCATACGCAGAGGTACGCACGTACGTACGCAGAGGTACGAGCGTACCCCCCAGGGCATGTCCATGCAAAGCTCCAATTTTTACAACTGCATACACGTACGCGGTGTCACACAATAAACTGCCCAGCGACGGACTGTTTTGTATGCAACACCAGTGTATTAAATCCCCCTTCTTCATCTCTGATCTGGCCTTTTCTTTTGTTTTTTTGCCAAGAGGCAAGTGATCTCTTCCTCCTCCGTTGATGCCATGACTGAAATGGTGAGAAATGGAGGAATTTGTCACGAGCAAATTAAACTCAGGTCCAGCGGCTGTGGGAGGGTCTGGAGATTTCCTGGTGGGCTGGTCTGATGTGTGGGCTGTAGAGCCAGCGCTCCCTGTGTTTTTTTTATTTTTTAGATCTTTTTATTAACAACATATAAACAGAACACCGCTGCGGCTGCCAGCGTTTGGTTTTTTTTCCCCCCGACCTGTCAATCAATCCAGTAGGCGTGTCAGCAAATGACCAATCGGCGACCTCAATTTGTCCCGAAGGTAAACACCCCTTGTCTGCGAAGCTGCTCTGCAGCTGCTCAGGGTGTACGCTGGAGTTTAATGACTGAACCCTCTGCGTACAGTACACGCGTACGTCCGTTCACGCGTACGTACGCGGCAGTATACTGGAGGCTTAAGGCAAAATTTTATAAATTAACTTTTGCATGAAGTGCAGTTAAATGTTTGGGAATAAAGTTTATTAAAGGCAGCAATCCTCTTTCCCAGCAAACGAGCCTGTGTGGGCCCCTCATTGGCTGTTGTGGGGGTTCCTGTGGGCAGGACAAACCCACACAACACCCATTTCCATTAGTCCAGACAGGACTCCTCCAAACACACACCAGGAGGAAGAACCTGAAGTGGTTTGCCCATGTAGTGAGGACCTCGGTCAAACCTGATCCTCAGATGAACAGTGAAGGAAAACATAAGGGGGGGGGGGGGGGGTGTCCCCCCTTCAGTGGGCAGAGGACACCCTTACCTGGACAGGGCTCCCCTTCCATGCTCTCACCCTTCTTGCTGAGGATTGGCCATGGTGGAGGTTGCAGGTGAGAGATGTGTGTTCTGCCCTCATAGCTACAAGTTAAGGGACTGATGATGATGATGATGAAACAGGCTCACAGCAGAGAGAACAAAACTTCAATGTGGGGAAAGCTTAATTGGAGGTTTGCCCACTAATGTTTGTGGTAGGTTGCCTCATTGGGGACCAACCACAACAGTTTTGCTCTTGAGTCCCACTGAGTGAGAAAGTCTTCTGGTCCAGTACCTCATATGGGCCTCATCAGTCTTTCTGCGGGTATTCCACTCAAATCCCACGAGCACGTTTTGCTTTTCTGTGCTCCATGTTTTTGTTTTTTTTATTTTTCATGTGGGCAACCATTTGTGGGTTTACCCACAGAAATCCCGCATGGGCCCCACTGCCACCAAACCCATTCAGGACTGAGTCCTGGCCCTTCTCGGACCAGGCCGTGTCTCCAAAACTGAGGACGCTCAAAGAGCTATCCTCAACAGGTGAGATATTAATTATTCCTGACCTGTCCACAGAACTCTGCTCGAAATGATCCGAACTATCCCTTTAATGAAAGCACGTGATTAATTTTAACTTGTGGCCTCCTTCGCAGTTGTGGACATGAAGTCTGCTCAATGTTCTCCCACTCTGACTCTGATTAAAGCAGCTTCATTTTAGCTCACATGTGAAGCCGAGAAAACAAACGGAGCCTTTTTCTTCGGCTGGGCTCGTGGGGAGAACCGCCAAAGCTAATGATGGGGGGAGGAGTGGCTCCCAGTTCACAGTGCATTGCTGCTGCATGAGTAATACCACATATGCCTTAAGAACTGATGGAGACCCAGCTGCAGTGTTGTGGAGCGAGGAGATGGGAAAATACTGAAAGAGGAATATTGTGAGCATGGGTGGAGTAACCAATGACCTCATCCTGAGAAAACAAGCTGCCTGCAGCCAGAAGAAGCCAGAACTGCTGGTTTCTGTTTTATGGACTCATGTCCATGGCGACCTGTTGAGTGGGATCTCCATCTCATTTGTTGGTTTATGTTTGTAACTCACCGTTTTCGCCCGGATATCGTATCCACACTGAGTGTTAATGACGTCCTCCTGCGCAGAAAAGACGGTTTTATTAGTTTTATTTGCATTAAATTGATAGAAATGACAACAAAGGCCTACTCTCAGAGGAATATTTGAGTTCAAATTAATACTATGATGGTATGTGCAACAAAACTATAAGTAATGCACCTGTTCGTGAATTGTCTTGTCTCAAATTGTACTTTGTGCTAAAATATGTTCATAGGTTACTCAACGCTCGTCCGGTTAATAAAGTGCACCAATCAGATGTAAAGCACATTCAAACACATCCAGTCTACAGATTCAACTCAGTCTGGAGGATGTGTCTGCTTAAAAAAAAAAAAGATTTACATGGGTTTGTGTCATTTGTGGTCGTACCGCACAACAAGGAGTCAGATCCGCTCAGAAAAAGATTGATAATAAACCGAATAAAGACACGCACGTCTTGGAGCGAGTTTAACGTCTCAACACACAAATGTGTAACTGTCGTTTGAAAACAGCTGCAGAAACAGAAACCTAAAGGTCAGAGTGAAACTAAAACTCCACAGTTTTTATGAATGTGTAGTGATAAAGTGTTTTTAAACTATGGACAAAGCTTCAAAGTCAATACAGACACAGGAGGGCTGTGACCCGTGTGAGGGAACAGTCAGGCAGACGCAGCGCTCTGATCTGATCAGAGATCAGCAGGAACAGTTGGTCACGGTGTCAGCATGCAGTCCAACACACTGGAGGTAAATGACGTGATGTGCATTCCTTCAAGGAATGACAGTTTTTGATTTGTCGCCTGTTTTTCCTGTAAGATTCAGTCAGAATGATGTTATGCAATCTCTCATCTGGTGCTTTTGCAAATCTCCCTCAGGTCTGCTATGAAGATACAGGTGAGCCCTAATGGTGGAGGTCAGTCAGGTGTGTCTGAGCTCTGCCAGGATGGCTCAGTGTTTTCAGAGCAACGTTTTAAAATACAGTAGTCCCTCGCTACTTTGTGGTTCGAATTTCATGGGCTCGCTCTATCGCAGTTTGTAGACGTCCAGTACATAATACTGTAAATAAAAAAAACATTGTACAGGACACGATTGTCAACTTTAATATTACTCACGTGATTGGAACAGTACTGGATACAGTACTGTAAAAAGTTAACGAAAATATAAAATACTTCGGACAGGCGGCACCATTTTGTAGTTTTCTCCCAGTAAGCCTCCAGCGTATTCTCGCTCTTAATGACCACATTTCCCAGAAGACAACAGGGCCCCGCCCAGAAGCCCTGTTTCCTTCTGCTGAAAAAAACAGACGTAAAGTTTTGATCTGATCGGTGCTCAGCGGATGCAGAGAAGCTGCACTGAACCCACTGAACCAGACCAGAAGCGGAGCAGAACCAGACCTCCAGACCATCGGTGAATCTTGAGAGCTGGTAGCCCGTCTACGTGGACCTCCGAGCGGACGCGTGCGGCCGAAGTTCTTGCGTTCCATCTGAAGCTCACGGTACGTTTTCCATGTCTTTCAACTGGCCGACGAGGACTTCCGAGTGGGACACGCTGGTGAGTAAAATTTAGTAGCTACATATAAGTATGTTGTTAAAATTAGTACGTTTAAGGGTTTAGAACATCGATTGTGAGCTTTGTTGCTGCAGGGTACGTCTGCAGAAACTGAACCGAGTCATACCGAAAACTAACCGAGAGCCGCTGCTGTTCTGCAGAGCCTGGTAAGTAAAATTTAGTAGCTACATATACAGTACTGTGTTGTTAAAATGATATAAGTTTAAGAGTTTAGAACATTGCAAGAGCGTGGGAAGGTTTTCTAAAGCCTTAAAATACATAAATAAGTACTCAAATAAATATAAAGTTGCTACTTTGCGGAATTTCACTTACTGCGGGTGGGTTCGGAACCGAACCCCCGCAATAAACGAGGGACTACTGTATAACCAATCGTTTCAGGGGTTTATTAATAGGACAATGTTTTGAAAAAACTGCCAACTAGTGGCATCAAGAGACAAAAACTACAAAATAACATTCCACTGTGAAACCTTTGGGACAAACGCAGCAGAGCTGCAACATAATATTCCTGACCTTGACCTTAAAGCAGAACTGACTTGTGTTTTCATAAGTTTTATCCAAAAAAAACATCAGCTTGTAGCTCTTCTGCCGTCTTGCAACAATAACCCAGGAGAAGCAAACCATCCGTGGCTCTACAAGAGGGATTTTGTCTTTAACCCTTTCCAGGTTGCAGAAATCGGGAGTGTTGATTTTCAGTGAGCTGCAGTTTGATATTTTGCAGCTAGATGGCGCTACATCATCCACACTGGACCTACATGATTCAAACTATTTGTTTCCTGTGGAGCCAAAAGCTGAAGCTTTGTCTCCGTCCCACTCATTAAAAACAATCTGAGCGTTGCTGCTGAAGATGGAACAGTTGGAAAAACGCCCTCGTGTCAGCAAATAAAAACATCTGAGCAACTTTCATTAAAGAGAGTTGTGCTGCAGCAAAGAGCTGTCACTGGTGTGCAGTGGGCAGCTGTGAGAGCACTGTTCTGCCAAAACAAAGAGAAAGAAAAGCCTTGCTCAAGGTCTCCAGTCTGCTTTCAGACTCAGTTGTCTGGCAGAGGACTAACCGCTGAGGGCTGGACGTCCTGTTGGACCGCAGCCATGACATTTGACATCTGGACAACACAGATAACATGACTTTCTGTTACCAGGAAGACTCCCTCAACATCCTCCTGAGCACACTCTTGCAGAGAAAACTCACTAACTTCCTTACGGGAGCGTTCCGCTCTACTCCAATGGGAGTACACGGTGAAAAGCAGCAGACGTACCGCGGGATCTTTGGTGCAGCAGGAAAAGGGCACGCCACATTTCTCACGACTCGGGTTTGAATCGGTGCAGTTAAAGTAGATGTTCAAATTCCAGTCGTCAGCACCGAAGGCTCCACAGCACTCCCACTGCAAGGTTAAACAAACATCAAAACACGATCGCATTAAAGTCAACACGCTCCCACAGAAAGGAGAGAGCGTTTCAAACATGAGGTAATAACAGTTCAAGGTTGTAAAAAACTTTAAACCAGCACGACGGCGCTCACATATTCCTGGGTGAAGTCTATGAGGTTTTGCAGATCGATGTCATCTCTGTAGGCCCGGATGTTGTTGTTAATGAAAGAGTTGAGCTGGTCCTTGATCCAGTCTTTGAAAACAAAGGCCAGAACTCCTGCGGTCAGCTCCAGGAAGAAGATGATACCCAGGAACACGGAGAACTACAGGACAGAAACGTTCCGTGAAACCAACACGTCGTTACGAAACAAACTCTCGGTGGGATCCTGCGGGAAACGTACAAACTTTAGCAGGAAAGAGTTCTCTCGCAGCGCTCCGATGCAGCCAGCGAACCCGAGGATGAACATGACGCCGCCCACCACGAGGAAGAGCCACACGGGGTCGAAGCCCCCCAGGTCAGTGATGGACGAGATGTTGGAGAGGACGCCCTGATGGGGAAGCAAAGACGGTGAAAAGTTCATCTGATCTGAGAACTTGCGTTCAGCGAACACATTAAGTCAAGTCAACCATTTCAAACAGCAGCTGTTACCGAAGTGCTTAACAATAAGATCAAGGCAGTAAAAAACAATAATAATAATTAAAAGCAACAAAAATGGAAACAAAAAATACAAAACAACGAGGAACAATGAAATATCAAATCACACTGTGTTAAACGTCAGTGAAAACAGGTGTGTTTTTAGCAGAGATTTAAAAACAGGAAGTGAAGTCGTCTGTCTAATGTTGAGGAGCAGATTGTTCCAGAGTTGAGGGTCCATGACTGAAAAAGCCCGATCTCCTCTGAGCTTCAACCAAAAGCAGCTGGTCAGATGATCTCAGCGCCAGAGAAGGAACATATGGTTGAAGTAGGTCAGAGATGTATGAGGGTGAAAGGTCATTAATGCACTTAAAGGTCAACAGGAGAATCTTAAAATCAGTTCTGACACGCACAGGGAGCCAGTGAAGGGAGGACAGAACTGGTGAAATGTGATCAAACCTACAAGTTCCTGTTAAGAGTTGAGCTGCAGCATTTTGGACGAGCTGGAGACGTGACAGGGCCTCCTGACTGACTCCAACATAAATCATTACAGTAGTCCAGCAGGTTGTAACGAACGCATGAACTGTTTTTTTAAGGTCAGATCTGGTCAACACAGACTTAAACTTAGTTATCTGCCTTAACTGGAAGAAGGTTTTTTGTAGAACAGAGTTAATCTGTTCATTAAACTTGACACCAGAGTCTAAAACCATCCCGACATTGTTAACAGACTGCTTAAGGCATGGCTCAAGGGAGTCCAGGTTTACAGGATCAGAGGCAGCAGTAGATCTACGGCTAAACACAACGACCTCAGTTTTCTGATCATTAAAACTTGACATGATGTCATCGAGACATTTTAACAGAGGATGAATGAAGCAAGAACTGTTGGGTGGTAAGGGCAGATAAATCTGACAATCATCAGCATAACAATGAATATATTGAGTTCACTGCGACGCTGCTTCGGTCCAGGTGTGCTGCTGCACCTTCTTTTGATGTCCGAACAGAAACGGGCGGCACGTCTCTACTTCTGAGATCTCTAGTCCAAATAACGGAGACGTTCTGAAACGTGACCCGCGCAGATTATACGTGAATCCACCGAGTGACAAAATAACTGTCACATGAACAAAGGTCTTCAATAAAAGTCAGAAACCCCTCTCCACCCTGAGAGCATGACAGTGAACGCATCACGTCAACTCAGTCTGTTCCTGAAGGCGTCACGCAGGAAAGCACGACATTCTTCTCTGGTTCAGTAAAACAACTGCAGCGTTCCACAGTCGGCGTTAAAATCACTAATCAAAGCGAATGATCTGATGATCACTGGAAGATGTTGGTGACTGAGAAGATTTACGAATTAATGCAACGCACATCGTCAAGAGATTAAAAAAAAAAAAGAATACCCACCTTTTCGCTCCACGCCCAGAGCCCGATACCGAGAAACGTCAATCCGAGGAACTGAGCAACGGGAGACAAAAGAGCAGAAAGATTTAATGTCGACAAGTCGCCATGGGACAGAAGCAGGTGGAGAGGAACCACCAGGTACCAGAACTAAACGCAGCTTCATCTGCAGAACCAGCACCGAGATCCCAAGGCTTAATTTTGTTGTTATGAAAGACTTATTCCTTAAAAGCAATCAGCCACAACATTAAAACCACTGACTACCGAGGACGACAACCTTTCATGTCTAGCTGGAAAATCCAGAGTCTTGGAATAAATACGACCAACTTTTGTCCAAAAACTCAGGTAGTGACTGCGAAAAACTGCCAAGACAGCGGAAAGAAAAGTTATAAACAATAGACTTGTTTACCAATCAAACTACAACTTATTAGGAGCTGAAAAAGTATAATACACATTTTTTTAAACCTGTTTAGTTATTGTCAATTATTAATAAGAAGCAGAACTAGCTTCTGCTGCTGATAACGACTTTACTTTTGAGAAAATATATATTTAGTTTACAGTAAAAGTATAATAGTCTGTGTTAGTACAGGTACTGTGAGATGAATCTGTGTCATATTTGAGCTTCACTTTATGAAGTTATTGATAAAACATATGGAACTTTTTCATGATGTTCTCACTTTTCTCAGATGCACCTGTACAGGTAAATAAGAGAGCTGCTTATTGTCCAGGCGACACCTGGTGTTGGTCTGTGTCTCTCTGCTGTCCTCTCCAACCTCAGCCAGTAAAGACAGATGGACTGGTTCTGGTTCTGATGGGGGATTCTTCCTGTTCACGGGGAGTCATTTCTTTCCACTGTCACCATTCTGCTGCTCAGGACACGAGACTGTGAAGTGAAGATCTGTGCAACCTGCTGGCTTCCTTAGATAACTTTTACTATCCTGATGCATGCTCAATAATCCAGGTAGAAAAATCTAAAAAAGTTAAATCAGCTCCTCAGACTGAAGAAGTCTCTCGGACGAGAGACGAAACGTTTCTACATTTTTTTGTTGTTTTGCTTTGTTTTGGGTTTTTTTGAATGTCCAGAGGACCAGATTTAACTTCCTTAGATAACTTTTACTAGGTGCCACTTTTCACCGTACGTGAACGTTTTTTGCTCAGATCCCAGAGAGGACTTTTGTCCACCATGACCCAGTAAAGTCCAGGTGGTTTGGCCACTTTTCTCTTGAGCCATTCTGTTGTAGATGTTGCTGCTCAGATTGATTACAGATGCTGACAGCTGTGCTCGTTGCTACAATAAAACCTCGAATTCGGTGGATGGGTAACAGGTGCGCAGAGGAGCAGAGGGAACACTGCAGGGATGACCCCCCCCCCCCCCCCCCACCACCACCACCACCTCCCCCCACCCACAACACCACGTCCTGTCAGCGTCTCGACAACACCCAGGCTGGCTCGGACTCACCCAGAAAATGATGTTGAACCCGAAGATGAAGTACTTGATGCAGCAGCTCACTTCCTGAGCCTTGAAATGCTTCCCTGACATCATTTTGGAAACGACTTGGGGGCTGGGGGGGCTCAGGTCGACGCTCCTCTTTGTTTCTGCGCAGCCCAGTCGGCGGGAACAGCCTTCAATGTCCGTTCAGGAGTGGATGAAGGCGCCATCAGCTGGTGGTGTCGGCCTCGGCCCGCTCAGGTCTCACCCGGTTGAGGACGAACAAAGCCCCGACGCTCAGATAAACCCACCAGCCTCCAACACCGCAGACATGGCTGCTGCATGAGCGACGCGGCTCTCAGCCAATCAGAGGCCGAGGAGACGCGAAGAGGCGGGACTTCCGCGCCCCCTTTTTCTAAACGATAATAAAAGCAGTTCCTTTGGGACTGACTCTGACATATTTAAAGACTATTTTATCCACTCTATCACTGCAGACCGCAGTACAATACCTCTGAATTAAGAAAGGTCCACGACTGTTGATTAAAACATTATGAGCATGTTAAATAATGAGCAAATTGTCTTATGTAACAGCTATTTTTAATCTGGACTACATATTGTGTGTGTGTGTGTGTGTGTGTGTGTGCGTGTGTGCGTGTGTGTGTGTGTGTGTGTGTGTGTGTGTGTGTGTGCGTGCGTGCGTGCGTGCGTGTGTGTGTATTTGTACTTCCTATATCAACAAAAACTATAACACATAAAGACAAATCCATCCTTCTTCTACCAGTTATCTGTATTCAGGTTGTGCAGGAAGCAGGTCCAACAGAAAAACCCAGACCTCCACCTCTCCCCCCCCAGAGACACTTTCCAGCTTGTCCTGGAGGACCCTGAGGTGTTCCCAGGACAGAGAAGATACACCATGCCCACCATCCCTCCAGCAACTTCTGTGTCTTCCTTGGGGCCTCTTACCAGAGGGACGTGCCTGGAAAACCTGTTAAAGGAGGCATCCTAATCAGATGAACCTCCTCAAGTCACTCTTTTGGATGCGAAGGAGCAGCGGCTCGACGATCTCCTTCCTGATGACGGAGCTCCTCTCCCTGGCTGAGCCGGGCAACCCTGCGAAGGAAGCCCACTTCAGTCGCTTGTATCCAGGATCTCATTCTTTCAGTCCTGATCCAAACATCACGAACACAGGTGAAGGTTGGAACATAGACAGATCAGCAAACCCAGAGCTTTGCCTTTCAACTCAGCTCTTTTCACCACGACAGACCAAAGCAACGCCCTCATTACTGAGTATGAGGCCTCAATTCGTCGATCCAGCTCTTGCTCCATCATCAGTCAGGAACAAGACGCCCTGATACCTGAACTCCACTTGAACTAAAGACAAATCACATTTTGTGAAATGTTCAGTGACATATTATTAATATTATTATTAATATTATTAATAATATTATTAATAATATTACCAGAGCAGTTAGGACTTACTGCAGTGTGTCTGTGAGATGGTTTGTCTGTCGTGTTAGTAAAATATCTCGTGAACCACTGGATGCATTTTAATGAAAAGTTCATTTAAAGAATTCATTGGATGTGCACTGATAAACTTTTGGAGTTAACAGTCCAAGAGATGACGGTCATTTTACAGACAATGAGCCGAAGTTTGTTATACAAGCTGAAAATCATCCTCAACACTCTAAAAGTGAACAAATCTCACGAGATCACTCAGATTATTTACAATGTTTGCCTAAAATGGCTCCAGCTTCGTCCCCTCTTCAAAAGATGCAACGTTACATGAGATATTGTCGCCTGTGATGTAATGTGTGGTAAAAGATTATTATGGGAATCCTTTTCAATGCATTTATTACATATTTGCAGATTCATAAAAACAAAACTATGTTGAGGAGAAAAGGGGGGATTTTTATGTTTGGTGGATTCAAGATAAAGCTGTCAGACTAATAAATGTGTAATAACTGCCCCCTGGTGGCAGCTTCTGTCTCCTGCAACATTTTGAGCCACTGAACACAGAACATTTATTTATTTATAGTTATTGTACACAATATATTTAACATTTATTTTTTAATTCACGCATAAATAACCCCCCACAGCAGCCGTGTTCCACATTTGGTTTATTACATAAAATATTACACCAAAATTCTACTGCATTGCAAATGTCTGCTTACAAAACAGGATCATTTATGAAAATAAATATTTCTGTGCAATTTACCTGTATTGTCAATGCAAGTGAAACAATGCTGAGATTCATTTAGCTGTGTGCCAATAAATAAACTTCCTGTGTGCAGCCAGCGAGACCTTTAATCCTCCGACATGGTTTCCTCACGCGAAGCTGGTTCGCGGACTTCTTCAACCTTCAGAGTTTTGTTTATTTGCGCTGCTTGAAACAAAATGTGTGGCACACTGAAAGGTTCTTCACATTGTTCCTAAAAGTTCTCGTAAACTCACATTTCAAAAGGTCTGGCAATACAAAAAGTGGTAACACCAACATGAAGAGGTCACACATCAGTATTTGGCTGCTTCTTCATTTTACACAAACAGTTTTGGATTAAAGAAAATACATTATGCCCCGGTTTCTCTGTAAAACGGTTGTCCTCGTTGGAAATAAAAATTCTTCATTTTAATTGTCATGATTGCACTGCGGACAGGCAGAGTTCCCAGAATCCTCTGCTGGCACAAAATCAAGCTGCGACGAAACAACGTTCTTGTGCTTTCTGCTTTGCAACACTCAGAACACATCCCTTATAGAGCACACCTTGTGCATTTAGTCCGATTAACACGTCTACTTTAGATCTGGCTGAAAGAGACAAAGATTATAAACAATAACTATCTTACTTGTTGCAGATAGCTCTTTCTGACAGCTCAAGTTGGAGAAATTGAGCTCGATTCTGACCGGACTGGACAAAGATTAATGATGACAGCGATTGTCTTAACCCATCCATCCAAATTCTACTCTTTAAACCTTTTAAATGGTTTTATATTTCATGGTTCTCCCAGCAGAAATCTAATGTTCTTCCTGCTGGAGCAGCCCCCGCTAACTGCTCCAAAGTGATATTGTAACAACCAAATAATTTAATGTAAATAAACACGATGTAAAGCTTTATAAAACAGGGTGTGCATGAACCACAGTGACAGTCTTGAGAGTGAAGTTGTTTTAAGGTGGCAGCAGTTTGGACTTTCCACTGCTTCAATTAGCCTTTAGCCGCGACGGTGGGAATGTGAGCATGTATGAACTTCTACGCCCCTAAACACCAACATAAAAGATATTATAACCCCAAAGAAATGCAGTAAAATACACTCTGGGTTGTTGTTTTATCAGAAGAGGGACATCCGTCAGGTGGTGCTGCAGCACCCTTCACAGCGCTAACCGTTAGCTCAACAATCCGGTCAAATTTAAACTCTATTCCTGCAAAATGAGGTCACTCAAAAAGCTATCTACAACAGGTAAGATGTTAATTATACAAAAGATTTCCACTCTCCTCTGGTGAGGGGAGGAAACGCCTCGTTAGCGTCTCGTTCTTTCACCCGGAAGCACTCAGCAGATCAGTCCGTCAACTGAGGAAGGGCTCGTTGGGCATTTTTAAAGAATGTTAATCAAGTGATGCACATAAACAAATTGTAAACCTCTGGTCTTGCTAAGCTCAACGTTAGCCGATTGTTTTGGTATACGAGTGTAATGTTCATATTTTAATAATCAGATTTCTTTTGGCTGTAAAAAGTACCTATTTATGCAGAAATATAGGATTACTATTATTTTCTTTGGAAAATAACTGAATATTACAATACTGGGTAATTAAATATAGCAAGAACATTTTATAAGTTATTCTCAACAATCACAGTAGCTGGAAGTTTAGACGTTTCTGACATGTTTCAGTATGAAGCACATCCGTACAGACAAGTATAAAATAATCTAAGGCTTTGTGTGAATAAATTCAAGACTTCTTCCTGTGCGTCTGTCTGAAGCTCAGCCGCTTCATTCAGAGCTGTAAAGTTTCTCAACTTGTTTGGCCACGCAGCAGCTCAGAGCTGGTGAGTTATTGGGAAGGCAACATCATTTGATCCAGTGAGGTTTGTAACAATCGTAAAATGTATTAAAACACATCTTCAAAGGAGTCTTGTAATACTTTGTGGATGACCTGACGCCTCGTGCAGAACACGAGGAAACGGGTCCAACACCGTAAGCGTTTCCCTGCGCTGATATGTTAAAAAGTGACATCAGAGTTGACCAGAACCCCCTCCGGAGGAGGAAAAGGTCCATCTTTCGCTTGTCTGAGAGGTGGACACCTGCTCGTGATGGCAGCACGGCTCGTTGGTGTCCAAGCTGCACAATGGCCGGTTCTGGCCCAGTTAGGTCACCTTGATCGTTGACTTCTTAGGGACGCAGAGTAAGGAGACGTAGGGCACGCCGATAAAGGCCCACTTCTCGTTGGGCCAAAACATTATGACGGGGCCACGCTCCGGGGCCTCGGTCGCAACATCGAAGTAGGCGAAGCAAACGCAGCCCAGATAGGAGGCCAGGCAGATGAGGATGTGCCTGGGGGAGCAGGGGGGGGGGGGGGGGGTTAATGGATCACACGGTACACATGATTTAATACAAATGTTGTTCGAGTCAGGTTCTCGGTCTGTGAGCTCACCAAGCACAGTGCAGGTAGGGGAAGTTGACGGAAGACCACATTTCACAGAATATCCTGTCGCTGATCCAGCAGAGCAGAGCCAGGGCCCACCAGAACCCTGAGATCAGGCCCAGCTTGAGCACGCGTGGGTTCTCACACCTGCGACGACAGAAACACACACGCAGCTGAAGCACAAAGCCTGACGTCAGAAATGACCACACGCTCATGTTCACTGAGCTAACTGTGGGTGCACGAACTGCTGTGTTCACGCTTTGTTTCAAACAAGCCAGCTGAGCACCTTAAAGGGATAGTCCGGTCATTTTGGAGTTGATGCTCAGTCAATGACGTAGTTATCAATACTTAAAACGTTTAGCACTGGAGTAGAGAGAGGGTTCGACTCACTGCAGGAGGTGGACGCAGATCGTTTTTCTGTCCGTCTGTCGATGTTTGGAAGTACCTTCTGGGCAATTTTAGGTGATTTTCTTTTTCTTTTTGAAAAGAACTAATGTGTACAACTTAAAATAAAGTTTTACAAGCCGTGCAAACAAAAACAGACCAAACCACTGAAAATGTTTTGTGAAACCCTCAAAACTATCTAGTTGTACATCTACAGCCAGCTGACCTTAGCAAACACAAAGACCACTCTAACTCAGTCCGTTTCACAAATATTGACTCAAACTTTGACGTGGTAGTAACTGAGAGCCATCCCCGACACAAACTTTGAGCTATAGGATCTCCTGAGGTCTCACCGTAGTGTATGACATCACCCATGATGTCATTAACAAGGTTGGACCAACTCTGACCATCCTTTAGCAAAATAACCATGAACGACTGCACGGATTTGAACAAAACTAAGAAGGAAATCACTGGTTGTACTGCACATCTACGACCGATTTACTTTTAGGAACAATCCAGGTCAAGATGGCCGCCACAGCTAATTGGCATTATTGCCCTTTTGTCTTCAGCGAAAGGCAACAGTTAGGATGACGCACCTCAAACTTTACGGAGAATCATTTGATGACAAAACGGTCACCTTGGACCTCTCAAAAGACCAAACTTAGAAGTAGCGTAACCTTTTTAATTCCTAATTAGAAATTTTGGCATGGCACACAGAAGCATTTAAATTCAAAACATAACAAAATGCTTCAAATCTGAAAGGACATTTAATCAACTGCTGCAACACTAATATTAAAATGTGCTGCAATAAAACAACAGTCTGAAAATGACAAGAAAAACCATCTTCGTTTCACCAGTTCAGCTTGTTGTGGTTTCGATTTTATGTTCAGCTGAACCCTTGAAACGTTTTAATGTTACGCAAGAGGCTCGGACAGAGAGGAGGAAAAGTGTCAGCGCACCTCATTACCAACAGGAAGTACGAGAATAGAAGGAAATGCCAAACTGATCTGTGCTCCAAGTGATTGCTCAAGAAAACATCGTCACGGTGCAGCAGACACTCGGCTTTGGTGATAAAATGTACAAAACGTCCATCGGCTCCTGAAGTACACAAGCTGGTAAACAAAAACATTTGGAGGTCCATTAGCTGTGGCAGCCATCTTTAATTGGATAAACTCCAACTGTTACCTTCTGAGAGGCTAATTAGTGTGTCCAATAATTCGCTAGAGATTTTGCTAACACTACAGGCAAATAAACAGACTTGAGTAAAAACAGTGTTTATAGCAAGTGATATTAACCACGCCATGTGAAAGTGATGGCTGTCACACGTGCACGTTTTCCCTGCACATCATCTCCTTTGTTTACCGTCTTTTGAACTTAAAGGTTATAGTATAAGAGTGGTGTGGTCTGACAGTGACATGAAGTAGACGTGTCATTCCAGTGCTCCGGTAAAACTTTACTTTTAAACAATACCAAGCCCTCTACATTTACTTTTATGCAGAGTATTGCACACCTAACTTTCATCAAACATTTGTTTAATGATATATCATCTTAAACATGTCTCAAAAATCGACAAAATCGAGCAAGAAGGACGACGCTCAGGCTGGCCTAACCCTAGAGGCCATTACATCTCTGCTTGAGGAGCACCGCGCTGCGCTGTCAGCTGAGTTCAAAGCCACCTTCAATCAGCTGGATGCCAAACTGGACCAGACCCAGCTCGCAGTGGAGGAACACGGCCAGCGTGTCTCATCACTGGAACTTGCCACTGACGACCTGAGCCAGCGCCTGACGGAGGTGGAAAACACCTGCTCAACTCTCCAGGAGGACAACTCCAGACTAAAGGCTAAACTTGCAGACTTAGAAAGTCGAAGCAGACGGCAGAATATTCGTATTCTGGGCCTACCGGAGTCTATCGAGGGCGGACGCCCCACGGACTTCTTCTCCAACCTGCTGTGCGACATCTACGGGCGTGACACTCTTCCATCCCCCCCCGAGCTGGACCGAGCTCATCGATCCCTTGCCCCGAAACCCGCCTCGGACCAGCGGCCGCGCCCGGTTATCCTGCGGCTACACCGGGTCCAGGTGAAGGAGCTCCTCATCCGGGAGGCCCGACGCAGAGGAAAGCTTGAATACCGGGGGACACCGGTGCGGATCGTGGAGGATTACACACCTGAAGTCCTGAACCAGCGCGCCGAATATAAAGACGTGATGGCTTCACTGTATTCTCTGGGTCTAAAACCGGCATTGCTTTTTCCTGCCCGACTCCGTGTGACTCTATCCGGAGGTAACAAAAGGTGGCTTGGGTCTGTGGAGGAGGCGCAGAAATACATCGACACCTTACCTCAGTCTTCACAGCGCAAGTAACACTTAACTTTTCCTTTGACTGATGAGCAAAGCGTTGGTTCCGCACTGGATCTGTTTATGATAAACTTTTACTTACTTAAGGTGATATACTTTTGAGAACAGGACTCTGCACATACTGTTCTGATTAATACATTTTTGTTTTCAGTGCCCTAAAAAAGTGCGGTTTTCTTTTTGTCCGTTTGTATGTGCGATCAGACGCACACCCAAACAGTTGAATCGGGTATAAATGTGTGAATTATATAACGTTTCAATATATTTTTCTGAAGCTTAATTCAGCATTTTTCTTCTTATTTACCTGCGCAATTTGACTTTAATTTAATTTAATGTAACCTTATACTCTTATGTGTGTGCGTGTTTACACATGCATTTATCTGTACCATTTTTGACATAACTTTGCATACTTTAATAGCCTACTGTTATGTGAGGTGCTTATACAACCTTTTTTTACGATACTGGAGCTGGAGCACTAGTTTAGAAGTTAGACAGGTGCCTTATTCTTTATTTTCTATGGAGCTTGCTGCTTTTGTTTTTTGCAGCTGTCCAGGCTGGGGAGGGGGGGTGGGGGGTCCGTTACTGCCATTAACTTTTTTTTTTATTTTATGCTATTTTGCCAAGAACTGCACAGCCATCCACACAGCCAACTGTATTATTGCCTATTTTTATTATACAAATGTCTAGTAATATGACTGGTCAGTTGGTGTTGTCAAGCTGGAACGTTAAGGGTCTGAACCACCCGGTCAAAAGAAGGAAGGTGTTTTCTCATTTAAAACAATTAAATACAGACATTGCTTTTCTGCAGGAGACTCACATACGAAGTGAAGATAACAAAAGATTACTGCAAACGTGGCAGGGGCAGAGTTTTCACTCCTCCTTTAGAGCGAAGGCTCGTGGCGTCTCAATCCTCCTCAGTCAGGACATTTCTTTTGAACCTCTTGAAGTTAACTCAGATAAGTATGGTCGCTATGTGATAGTTTCCGGTAAATTGTACAACACACCAGTAGTGCTTGTTAACATTTATGCCCCAAATACAGATGATGTAGGCTTCTTTGAGAAAGTATTTTCACTGCTTCCAGACCTTAACATATTTTCATTGGTACTTGGAGGCGACCTAAATTGCTGGCTGGACTCAGTTTTGGACAGATCCTCTACCAACCCCGTCACAGCCAGCAGGTCATCCCACACTATCCGTGCCTTTTTATCCAAGTATGGTCTGTGCGATGTGTGGCGTTTTTTACACCCCGCTGAGAGAGAATATTCTTTTTTTTCTCATGTTCATCATACATACTCAAGGATTGATTACTTTTTCATTGACAATAAACTTCTTCCCTCTGTCCGTGGCTGTAACTACCACAGTATTGTCATTTCAGACCACGCACCTGTGACTCTAGCCCTGTCCCTCCCTGACGTTCCTTTGAGGAGCAGACAGTGGAGATTCAATTCAACGTTGTTGTCAAACAAAGATTTTGTCACATTTATAGAGAAAGAAATAACATTTTTCCTATCCACCAACAGAACTCCTGGGATCCCACTTTCAACAGTCTGGGACACGCTTAAGGCCTATATCAGGGGACAAGTCATTTCATACACCGCTCGGCTGAAGCAAAAATCTCAAAAAGAAAGAACAGTTCTGGCCCAGCAAATTAAAGAAATAGATAAACAATATGCTCAAAACAAATGCCCTAATCTCTACAAAAAACAGCTAGAACTCAAAACTAAATTTGACTTATTGACCACACACTCGATAGAACAATTACTCTTAAAAAATAAATCCACATTTTACATACATGGAGAAAAGTCAGGAAAACTACTTGCAAATCAGTTGAACGGTGCCAGGGCCAAACAATTAATCCCTAAGATCCAATTAAAGAATGGCAATTTAACTCTAGATCATTTACAAATTAATGAAGCATTTAAGGACTTTTATACTCATCTATATACTTCAGAATCCCAAACCAATAAGAATTTATGTTCCGATTTTCTTGACCAGATTAATATACCCAAACTCATACCCAACAGAAAAGAGGCACTGGAGATCCCAATATCCCTCACAGAAATTGAGTCGGCTGTCTCAGTAATGCAGTCCGGCAAATGTCCGGGTCCTGATGGCTTCCCTGCAGAATTTTTTAAGAAATTTTCTCCATTACTCTCCCCACTTCTACATTCGGTTCTTTCAGAGTCGTTTAGCCAGGGATCCCTTCCAAAATCTTTCTCTGAGGCCTGCATTATCCTCATTTTAAAGAAAGGAAAAGATCCAACTCAATGCTCTTCTTACCGACCAATCTCCCTTATAAATACAGACGCCAAAATTTTAGCCAAAGTCCTAGCCCTTAGGCTAGATAAGATCCTTCCTTTTATTATATCAAAAGACCAAACTGGATTCATTAAAGGTAGGCAGTCCTTCTTTAATATCAGGCGTCTTTTTGACATTATTTATTCTCCTTCGACTACTGGCCCAGAGTGTGTCATTTCCCTTGATGCGGAGAAAGCATTTGATCGTGTTGAATGGGACTACTTGTTCAATGCTCTTGGCAAATATGGTTTTGGCCCCAACTTCATCACATGGGTACAGTTAATTTATTCACATCCCACTGCAACCATTCGTACCAACTTTCAGATATCTAGACCATTCAATCTGCATCGAGGAACTCGCCAGGTTGCCCACTGAGCCCTTTACTCTTTGACCTAGCAATTGAACCTCTCGCCATTGCTTTACGGTCCTGTAATACAATTTCAGGAACCTGGAGAAGTGGTCTGGAGCACAGGGTATCCCTCTATGCTGATGACCTCCTACTCTTCATCTCTCACCCGACTGACACATTGCCTTCCATTCTATCATTGCTTAAGGAATTTGGAATACATTCTGGTTACAAATTAAACTTAAGTAAAAGTGTAATTTTCCCCATTAATACCTTGGCACAGGCTCTTGACTTCAGCAATTGGCCTCTGAAAGTTGAGAATCAAAAATTCTCTTACCTGGGTGTTATAGTTACTAGGATGTACAAAGATCTGTACCAAGAAAATTTTGTCTCTCTACTGAACCAGACAAAGCAGGCGTTATCCCGGTGGTCACCGCTTTCCACATCTCTCATAGGCCGCATTAATTCAGTCAAAATGCTCACTTTGCCTAAATTTTTGTATCTCTTCCAAACCATTCCAGTTTTTATTCCTGGTTCATTTTTTGTGCAATTAAATTCCATCATTTCATCGTATCTCTGGCAGGGAAAACGTCCGCGCTTAAATAAGACACATCTCCAAAAAACCAAGATCGCAGGCGGCCTTGCCCTTCCAAATCTCCGTTTCTATTATTGGGCTGCAAACTTGCATTGCCTTGCATCTTTATCATTCTATTACAATAGGCCGGACTGCCCTGACTGGGTAGCGATGGAGTCAATATGTTCCGGGAAGTGGTCCACCCTGGCCTTTTTGGGATCCTCGCTCCCACTTCCACCACTTACAACTATTACAAACCCAGTTGTTAAACACTCACTAAAAATATGGGTACAATTTCGTAAATGCTTCGATCTCTCCAGTTTCTCTCTCTATACCCCTATCATGTCTAACCAGTCCTTCAAACCCTCATCTCAGGACCCTGTTTTCAAAGAATGGGAGAGAAGGGGCATAGTACGCTTCAAAGACTTGTTCCACAATAACACTCTAGCTTCATTTCAACAATTAAGTGAAAAATTTAGCCTTCCTCAATCAAACTTTTTCAGGTATCTCCAAATACGACACTTTATTATCCTTCATCTGCCAAGCCTCTCCATTTCAACAGATACCAATACTGTTGATACTATTCTTTCTCTAGACCCTAATAAAAAACATTCTATTTCATCCATCTATAGCAGATTACTGGATTTGAAGCGTGTTCCCTCAGATAAATTCAAAGCTGCTTGGGAAGAGGATCTTGGCTTCTCTATTTCAGAGAACTCCTGGACCTCCATACTCAGACTGGTGAGCTCCAGTTCTCTATGTGCTAGACATCACCTAATCCAATTTAAAGTGGTGCACAGAGCTCACATCTCTAAACTGAAACTGTCCTTTATGTATCCTGATGTCAGCCCATACTGTGTAAGATGTAAATACGCTGAAGCGTCCCTCTCACACATGTTTTGGTTTTGCTCATCCCTGAACAAATATTGGAGGGAAATTTTTCAGACTTTATCACGTGTGCTAGGTACACATCTGAGCCCAGACCCACTGATTGCTTTGTTTGGTGTCGCAGAGGGAGTGACAAATCTAAATAAAAACCAACGGCATGTACTATCTTTCACCTCTCTCCTGGCCAGACGAGCCATTCTGCTCAGGTGGAGAGAACCATTTCCCCCCACTCACGCTCAGTGGTTGACTGACATCATGTCTTCTTTAAAGTTGGAGAAAATCAGATTGTCACTCCAACAGAAAGAAGGCAAATTTGAGAAAGTCTGGGGAACTTTCCTGAATTTATTCCAGTCTCTTTGACAACACAACTCCTTCGGGGTAATGCAGTATCTTGGCTATCTTAGCTTCTTAATTCTTTTCTTTTTCTCCTTTCTGTTTGGCAGTGATTAGGGAGGGATTATTTTCCTTTATCCTGTGTTGGTTATACTGTATGTGATATAATTTAAATTGACTCAAGCCAATTATGTCTTTACTAATGCTTACATGTAAATGTTTTTATTGCCAACTTTGCTATTTCTTTTTATTTTTTTTATTTTTTATTTTTTTTTCTTCTTTCTGTTTGTTAAAAAATGGAAAAAATTTCAATAAAACAGATCTTGAATCAAAAAAAAAAGGTTATAGTATAAATACCACTTTTATATGTACTCCAATTCTTCCACTTTCTGTAAGGACGGCGTGTACATGTGAAACTTTGTTTTCCTGCAGCTGAAGTGAAGCCTAAACGAGGGCCGGGACTCAGGTCAGGTTCTTTCTGGGGGCACAAGTCCACGGGAACTCTTTCTGACATTAAAAAAAATTAAAAACAAAGACGGCTGGAGCAGCAGCGGTGTTGAGAAATACCCAACAGGCACTGATACAGAAACTAAAAAAATGTGTTTCCAGGAACATTCTGTCACCTCAAAGGCAGCTATTATTAGAGAGGAACAAAAAAACATGGCGTCAATGGTACAAGAGGTTAAAGGTCACGAGTTCTTCTACTGTGGACCACTCAGTCCTCACGTTTGTCTTTCATTCTGTTAGCATGACGCTAACTCACGTTGCTGTGTCTCAAACTTCAACAAGCAGAGGTTTCTCAGGAATTACAAACTAAAGAGTGTTTAACCATTCTGTCTCAAGCTGCTGTTCACTGAAGACATCGAAATGTTTCAAGTGGAAAAGCTGCGAGCCATTATCTTACCTGCTGCAGATAGCTCTGAGAATGACCTCAGTTTAGTTTAATTCTAACCAGACGCTTTAAGAAAGAAGCAATCCGCTCAGACTCGTCAGCTCTTCAATCCACTAAGAATTTAACCATTTCTCCAAAGTAATTTACTGAAATATTTTCTAAAGATAAAAGACGATAAAAGGTTTAAAAAAAACATAGAATCCCACATCAAAAGACCCGAACTTTAGCTCGGTTTTTCTGGATCAGCTGTTTATTTACTGCCTTTATTTATAAAAGCAGCTGACATGTTCATTCTTTATTCAAGTTTAGTTTTAGTAAGATCAATTTTAGCTGCATCCCATCGTGGACAAGAAAGAGCCTGAACTGATTTTCAAATATCCATGTCTGTAAATAATAGCTGAAGTCATAATACCAGGATTGTCTTTATAAATCACTTTGAAATGTTATCTTTGTGTTTACATTTCCAGTGAAAGGATTTTTTTTGACAATAGGACCGTCTGATTTCATCGTACTGACTTCAGTCAAGTCAACAGGACTCTGAGCAGTGGAGCGTCTGCAGCCTGCATGAATGCGCAGCTGCACTTTGGTACTAAGTTTTATACTTGAGCGACATGCTCGTGTGTTTTGCTCTTTACATCCAAACTAAAAACGTTGTCAGATGAGATGAGAGGCGGGACTCTGCAGTGACATCCGGCCGGGAAAGACGGACCTCTTTTGAGCTGAAATCCATCCAGGTAAATTTTACAGAGACTTTCAAATAGAAAATTTGAAACATCACAGAGTGAGCAACAATAAAAATCTAAATTATGGAGATAGAGGTGAAATAAAATAGCACTACTGAAAGGAAAGCATTATTTTATGATATGATAATAAAGGGCCAGAAAATGCATTTATAATGGGATTTCCCTGTGGTCAATCTCCCCTCTAAAGGAACATTACAGGATAGTAAAGTTACTGTGAGGGACAGGGCTTAATTTGTAAAGCAATCAATGCCGGGACGTAAATAGCGGGTAGGCTGGCTGGGGAGTGTGTTGGGGGCAGGGTGAGGGGGGGTCCTCCCCCAGAAAATTTTGAATAAAGTTGCCATTTCCTGTATTTTGGTGTATTTTAACGGGTTGTTTAACATCTATGTTTACCTACATTTATAAACACTCCACTTCTGTCAAGCATCTTAACTACTACCCCCCCCCCGCCCAAAAATGGTAGAAACAGAAATAATAATAATAATAATAATGTCATCACAATGTCAGCACTGTATGTTTCCATACAATGGCGAAATTAGTCTCTGCATTTAACCCATCCACCACCAGGTGGTGCAGTGGGCAGCTATTGAAAGCGCCCGGGGAAATGCTTCTTGAAGGGGCAGCTCGTATGTGATATTAAGAAGTCGTAACTGGCTGTTGTATTAAAAATGAGTGTTTATGTAATTATTTTCAGTTTACATATCCAATATAAGTTTTATTCGTTCAAGGCAGTCACATTTGTTCATAACTTTATTATTAGTAAGCCTGAGAGTTACCGGATCCAAGCAAATAGTTACCGGAACGCACCCTGTCAAAATAAGAGAGTTCCTGGATCCTGTTCCGGCAGGATCCGGCTCAAATTAAGTCCGGGTGAGGGGCATTTGAAAAGATTCTGACAAAATAAAAATTATGCATAGAAAGATTATTAGGTGTCAGGATTGTGTTTCTTGACAGCACCAATAGAAATAAATAAATACATACATAAAAGCACAAACAAAAGTAAGTGCATCCTGCTGTGTTTGGTTCGTCGCAGTCACGGTGAGTCACAAGCAGAAAACGTGAGGTGGACGTAAAGCAACACAATCGTCTCAAAACAAAGTGTGATAAGACGGAAGTGAGTCAGACTGTGAAACATTCTTTACCAGCGAGTCAACACAACCCCCGTCAGTGCTCGAGTTCCTGAGCTTCAATCAGAACATGAGGAGGACCTTCCTCCGTCTCTGACCCTCCTGACGTTCTTCTTGTGGAACTCAGCCTCTGGCTGCTCGTGCGACCGAGTGTCACCCTCCAGAGTGAGGTCTCACTCCCTGTGCTCACCTTCTGAGTTCAGTGATGAGCAGAGCGGTGCAGGGGATGCCCAGAGTCATGAGGGACAGCGAGTTGACGACAGGTTTCACGAAGGCCAGCCCGGTGGTGACCCCTGACAAGACGCCGATGACCACTTTGAACCTCAACCTACAGGAAAAAACACGACAAGAAGCACAACTTTTCACCATTCTTCCTCTAAAAACAGCACAAACACAACAATCAGCCCGGTTCGCTCTATGTGGAACAACCTTTAAAAGCAGCAAAGACCACGACGAAGCATTCGCTGAAGAAATGCGTATCGGCTTTTAGTGTGCAAGCAAAGTTGATGATGTTCAGTAATTCACGCGACTAATTTTAGAAGCAGTGATGATGCAGTTTGCAGCTTGTACAGCACTTCCATCAGGTCTCATTAGACGCAGTAAAGACAATAACCTTTGTCTTGTTTAGACCATTAAACAAAGAGTCAGCTCAGCTGCAGTGACATCTGCCATCAACGGAAAGAGAAGTGGAGACATGTGACGCAGGTTTTACTGGTGTCAGCTGGACTGGACTGGCCTATTCTTACCCAGAGGAGTCACAGCAGTGGAAGCCTCCTGAGGCAGGACACTGACCCACAGTAAACTCTACAGCCACATTCCAGGGTTTTAAGTGTACCAACACATTCCTCAGTCCATCCCACACATGCAGCCTCGCAGCAGTTTCCCATGTGGTAAACAACGTACCGGTTCCTCCTGAACACCTTGGGCAGGTATCTTTTGGGAAACCACATGGCGATGGCGCACATGAGCACCCACAGGATGGCCAGCTCGTCCAGCATCTGGCCCAGGAAGCTGAGGGTCGCGTGGAAATACGTCGACCCGATTCCTGCAAAAGAACAAAGACGCTGAGCGACAAGAAACATTTTCTGTTTGGTTGACGAGAACGGCCACGTGGCTTGTGAAAAGACACGGGCTCTGTGGACAAAGAAAACATGGAATGCACGTCACTTGCTACGTTTCACGTCAGACACTTCCATCATCCTCTGTTCACTGAAGATAAAAGTCGGCAGTGGATTTGAAAGAGGACGGTTCAGTCAACAGATCGGTGTTATCACAGACCAGCAGAGCGCTCATTATCAGACTGGTGTGTTGGTAGAACTGGGCTGCAGCAGAGTCCAACAGGCACTGCTGCCTGTTGGACACACTAACGCTCCGCGATGTAAACGATAGACCTGCAGCAGCTCAGACTGCACAACATGAAGGTCAGATGTGCTTAAGGTCACTTAAATATTAGGGAACACTTCTACTCACTTCTGGCTTGTTGGACAAAAATTAAAAAAACATTTAGAGATGATAATATTCTGATCCTGTTTAATTCTAATTTACACAACGTTCAAATAAAGTATTAATATAATAGAAGCCTAGCATTCATTGAAGGGCCCACCTCCTCTCATCCCAGAGTTTTAGTCTCAGTTGACAGAGAGAGACACATTATGAGCGACCTGATGTTCTGCTCAGAGTATGTGCTGTGAAGGACTCTCAGCTACTACCACATCAACTCTGAGCTTAATAGCAGTCAAACTCACAGAGTTATGGACTTTTGAAAACATTTCTGTGTGGGCTAAGGTGGATTAGCTGTGCTCTCTGCTACAAGTTACACAACCTGTTCAGTCTGTTCATGTTATCTCTGACGAGGTCGCCTCTCGGGAGCCGGGGGGGTGGAGGGGGGTTCAGGTTATCTTTGCTGACTGGGCAACTTGTGTGTTGTTTGAACTCTGCAGCCATTAACATACAGTGAGGGTTTCTCTCCTGATTTATGAGCTCTAATACGTTTCACAGAGCCTGAAGCTGAAAAATGCATCAACAAAATTCTGTAGCAATAAAAATAAAACGGAACAATCTCATTTAACACCTCGGACGCAATAAATAGCAGCTATAAACGTTTAAATTTGTTAATTATGAAATAGCTGATGATCTACTCTCGTCTTTCGGCCACATAAACAGCTTTTCCAAACGTTTATTTACAGTTTCTTTTTTTGGCTGTAAATAAACCTTATCCTCCAACACAGAGTTAAAGGCCTAGTACCGTATTTTCCGGCCCATAAGTCGCATCAGTCCAAAAATGACTAATAATTTAGAAAAATCCATAAATAAGTCGCTTCACCGTATAAGTTGCATCTAGTACGCATCACCGCTGACAACCTGGAAATGTGGGACGGTGTTGTGCCAAAAATCAATTGGCTGCCAAATGGTGGCCGCAGGAGCGTGCATGGGAGGACTTTAACAAGAATTTAACAAGATTAACACTTAAAAACAATTATTTGTTTGCTCAAAATTATAGTAAAGGTGTGTCTCAGTCGAACTTTTACTTAATAAATGCACTTTGACGGTGAAATCAGCTGCATTTCGCCGTGAAGGTGCAGCAAAATGAAGATGATTTGATGGTTGCTCCAAGCAGACGATGATGGCAGACTGTGGCAAGTCGACTCTGTCAATAATAGCCACTTTTACCTATTACATGACACAACAGCATGCCATACAATTCGAGCGCGAACTAGCGGCTGAAAATGGTAGTGTTCAATATTTTCAGTGTCAGAAAGAATGAAAACGGTCAAATCTCAGTCAAAAATTGGTTTATAAATATGGAAAAACATCCATAAACAAGTCGCAGGGCATGTAAATTAGGCAAAAATGTGCGTCTTATAGGCCGGAAAATACGGTACTCATTGACGGACTGCATATTGTCCATGTGCTCATGTGGTATTATGAATGTTTGAAGTACCGATATGTGTTGAGGCTTTCTGTTGGCTAATATTAATAAACTCTGGCAGCCATCTTGAATTGAGGTAAATCCAATAAATAAACAGTGAGTTTTATTAAAATCCACCCAGGTGTTATGTGATATTCGTGTGATATTTTGTTAATGGTACGGGCAAACACATGATCACCCTTTCGCCTATGGTGGCAGATGATAAATAATAATCTGTCTGCACGTTTAGAACAGCCACAGTAGAATTATGTGACAGATTAAACCCACAGAAGACAAAAGAGCATCCCTCCAGTTGTTTCTGTGTGGCTGTAAAGAGACTTCCTGCTGGGTCAGGACTGAACTTCATCATTTGGGGTCAAGAGGTCACAACTTACCCACCACGACCAGCAGGATCCAGATGAGGTAGATCCCACTGTTGAAGTGCTCTGCATACTCGCGGAACAAGCACATCAGGATGGGAGGCAGCACGAAAAACAAAATGTTGCTGATCTGGAATGAGAGGAAGAGAAGCACGCGGACACATGTTGATCAGCTGGAGGGGACAGCGTTTCAATAAACATCAAACTTCTTAAAGTCCGCTTGTTGGAGGAGGAGAGGATACATGGTGATGAAAGTAAACAGACGTCACCTACAGTGTTGTAAAACTCTGCGATGCTGGGGTAGATGAGGTAATTGCCTTCACACCAGTCCACTTCGGAGCTGCCAGCCTGCAACTGGTCCCAGAAAATCAGATCCACGTTACTCATGTCTGGACTAGTCCCTGTCGGGTGGACAGCTGGGTCTACAGCCTCAGCTCAGGAGATTAAAAACAAAAACAAGAAGAAGAAGCAGGCTCAGCGCGGTGTCGTTGTCTACAAGCTGGACTCTAATGTCTGGATCCTGGATCCGGTTCTGGACGAGAGTTGGTGGCAGAAGTCGCTCCTGTGCTGCATTTCTTCTTTTAAACAACAAAAAGCCTCCAGCTCGTCGTGACGCTCTGCCTCGTCCTCTGACAGCTGCTCGCTCTGGACTCAAAGAGCGTGAGCGCTGCAAGAGCGTTCCCTCCCGCTCGCTTCCGGCTTCGGTGAAGAAGCTGTTTCAAACCCGGAAGTAAACACAAAAACCAATAAATCATAGCTTGTTCTAATAACGGTAAAAGTTTGAACAAAAAAATGGTTCACGTTTATAGAACCCCATATCTAGACTACCACTTTGTTAATAAAAAAAATGCACAAAGTCATAAGTTTGACATAGTTTCTTATAATTGTGATTTAATATAACACTAATTCACAACAAGTTGTCTCAGGGCACTTTACAGAAACATTCACATATATTTAAAAAAAAAAAAGGCCAATTAGTAAAGTTCTTTATCTAAGGAAGACATCAGTCTTGTTGAATCTTAACTTCGTCACAGTCTTCCATCCTGAGCAAACACAGTGGCAACAGTGGAAAGAAAAAACTCGCTTTTAAAAGGAAGACACCTCTGGCAGAACCAGGCTCAGGACAAGCGGCCATCTGCTTTGACCGGCTGGTTGAGAGGACAGGAAGGAGAGACAAAGGAACTCAGAATGGTAGGTCCAGATGTAGGTGCAGGTGAACCTGAAAGACAAAAACACATGTCAAGGATGGAAAAATAATTACACATACAAAACAGGTTGAGCAGAGTATGTAGAGACAGTAGTATAGAGGTCAGTTTGTCTTCAAGCAGTCTAAGCCCAAGTCAACCCTAACTATAGGATTTATCAAAAAGGAAAGTCTTAAGACTTAATTTTCAAGAGTTAAGTCTTAATTATGACTTGGAATATATATATTTTTTTGGCTTAATATCCCATAAATTGGAAACATTACCTTGAAATTATGATTTAGCATCTCATTAAAATTAAATATAATCTCAAAACTAAAACTAAGCATTTCATAATCTAAGATATTTTTAGATTTTGAAACACTATTGCAATATAATAAGGACGATATAAGATGAGAGAGTGTTTAGAAAATATGGGATGATAAGTCATATATTGATTATGTATTTTAGTTAGTTTAGTTTATTGTTTATTTCTCATATGCGTGTTAACATAAGGTTAACAATGCAATGAAAAGTTCAGGATGCGAAGAACTGTTTCGACTCGCTTGAAAAAAGAAAAGAAATACTAAAGCATGAAATAAAAGTACAACATAAAGTACCAACAAGTGAAAAAGAAATATAATATTCACAAGGTCCAAAAGAAATATAGTAAAGTGCTGTATTGTCATCATTGTATATGTTCCCATATAATGATGAAATTAGTTCTCTGAATTTAACCCATCACACCTGGGATCAACCCAGGTGGAGCAGTGGGGCAGCTATGTAAGCGTCCAGGAAGTAATTAGGGATTAGGTGTCTTGCAAGGAAACCACGACATGTGGGAATGGCTGGGAAGTTGAACAGCGATTTTCTGGTCTCAGGTCGGCTGCCGTACCTCTACCCCATCTCGGCCCCACCATGGTAAACAACAACATGGTAGAATATAACAGTGCAAGTAGGATGAATTTGTTTAAATAAGTATTTCACATGTAGTAATATAAGCTTAAATCACATGATAAATCCATCCATCCATCCATTTTCTTTACCCGTTTATTCCATTTTGGGTCACGGGGGTCGCTGGTGCCCATGTCCAGCAATCACTGTGCGAGGGGCGGGGTACACCCTGGACGGGTCGCAAGTCCATCACAGGGTCACATAGAGACAAACAAGACAAACAACCATTCATTCTCTCACTCACACCTAGGGACAATTTAGAGTTACCAATCAGCCTAACATGCATGTTTTTGGTCTGTGGGAGGAAACCGGAGCACCTGGAGAAAACCCACGCATGCACGGAGAGAACATGCAAACTCCACCCAGAAAGGCCCCTGGACTGGGGTTTGAACCAGGGACCTGCTCGCTGAGAGGCAGCAGCTCTACCAGTTGTGCCACCGTGCTGCCCCCACATGATAAATATTGCACATAACTAACATAAACTACTCAGGTTGTGTGACAGGTTATTGCACAGGTAGTGAGTGACATTGAGATGAATTATGGTGATAAGGTAGTTACATACATGATACAGCTCCATCATGCAGCAGCATTAAACATATTAGTTGTCAGATATGGCTTAGTGCAATGTTACTGTTAACAGTTCAGTAATCTGACAGCTTCTGGGTAAAAACTGTCCTTTAGTCTTTTTGTACGCAATGGCAGACTCCTGTATGGTCTGCCTGAGGGTAGTAGATGGAAGAGCCCTTGTGCTGGGTGGGTGTGGTCCTTAATGATGCTGCGTGCTTTACGCAGACATCGGCTGTGGTAGATGTCCTGGATGGTGTGGAGACTGCTACCAGTGATGTCCTCTGCTGTTTGCATCACACTCTGTAGTGCTTTCTGACTGGTGCAGTTCCCATACCACCCTGTGATGCAGCCTGTCTGCAGCCTCTCAATGGTGCACCTGTAAAAGTTAGTGAGGATGCTGGTGTTCATACCAAACTTTTTTTTTTATCTTCTTAGGAAGTAAAGTCTTTGTCAGGCTTTCTTGACCACAGTTTGTTTGTAAAGACCAGGACAGATTCTCAGTAATGTGAACGCTGAGGAACTTGAAGCTGCTGACCTGCTCCACCTCAGCGTTGTTTATGTAGATGGTGGAGTGCTGGCCTCCACGCTGTCTCCTGAAGTTCACTATCATCTCCTTCATTTTGCTGACAATCAGAGAGAGGTTATTTTCCTGACACCAGCTGGTCAGTGATTTCACCTCATCTCTAATTTCATCTCATATCTAATAATAATGATATGCTAAATCAGAGATAATGAATCATGAGATAATACATGTCATCATTTTGTGACAGTATCTTTTAATTATAACTTGGAGGATCACAGTTTTTCCCCCTTCAGGATGGCAGCAATGGGATTCCACACAATTGACATGTATTTACCTAAATGGATTTAAAATATTTCACAATTTATTTTTTTATTTGTGATGAATGGTAACTTTATATTTTACATTTAAAAATAAAGAAAATTTTGTTGTAACTCATTGTTGTTGCTTTTTTTAGATTTTGCTTTGACAGAGACACATAATTTTAAAGTCTGGTTTGTACGTGTTGTGTGTACATGCTACTGACAAAATAGTTTGCTGGGTTGCTCACGTGTGAATAAGGTGCGTGTCAAAGGTCAGAGGTTGTTGATGGTACGAGCACACAGTTTAAATCTCGTGGGGATCGGGATTTTATGTGTATGAATGTCTATATGTATTTTGGTGCGTGTTCTTAATATTGTCTTGTGGAATAGTGGAAATAACTTTATGATAGATCTATGAAAGGTACTAAATAAAGACACTAAACTTCATTTACTTAATTAAATACCACTTTACAATAAGGCTCCCCTTATAGATGGCTAATAAATAGTTTATAGATACATTATTAATTCCTCTATAAACACCTTATAAATCATTAATGACTGCTTATGATGCATTAATTATGGGTGACAGAGAAACAAAACTGACCAGTTGCTTGCCAAATAGTGAGCCAAATATGTTCACCTATATATTTCATCTAGAGTTGTTATATTAAACATTTCAGATTAAGTTACTACCTTGTAAGCACAATAAGCATTTGTTAACCTATTTCTTTAGGATATAATATTAGTTGTAAATAATTATTATGCAGTGATATACTACAATATTGTATGCTAAAGAAATAGGTTTACAAATGCTTATTGTGCTTACAAGGTAGTCTGAAATGGTGTTGTAAGCTAAATCATCCAGGTAGATAACAACAAAAAAGGTTAAATCATGTCATCTGGACCAGTTTCGTCTCCCATCCAGAAGACTTCATCAGTCTACGGCCTGCCAACCAGATCTGCCCCATAAGTAGCCTTCACTGCTGTTTTTCAAGCCAACCTCCTGTTGGAATCTGGAGGTTGGCTTGAAACACAGCAGTGAAGGCTACTTATGGGGCAGATCTGGTCGGCAGGCACTGAGGAAGTCTTCTGGATGGGAGACAAAACTGGTCCAGTTGTGTAGAGAATCACGTGAGGTACGTGTCACTTATAGTATGACAAATATATGTGTATATATTTATGCATACTTTTCACGAGTTCTTCATTTTTCTGACTGTGTAATGCCGTGCATTGAATTTAACAGAAATGTAACGAGAGACGTTGTTTATCTTTGACCCATCAAATGAATGGAATCATTTATTTTCAGAATCAAAGTTTAACATCAAACATTTACATTAATTTGGCAAAATATGAAAATAATAACAGACAGTTTCACTGAAAATGAACTTCAAATCACTCGGCGGTGATCTGAGGACTTTGCTTCAGATATTTCTAAAAATATCTGTACTGATTTATGAGAGAGAAGAGTTTAAGATGAAAGGAGATTATCTTACAGAGAACTGTGTGAGGGAATTTAATCTGTTTGACCAGAAGTTGCACGCTCCCATCAGGTATCTCAGCTTTGCCCACGGTACACTTGGTCGAAGAAGTCTTTACCTGGTTTGACGATGGATCAGCTCAGTAAGCATCCTTCAGACTGTTTCAGCGTCTCCGTCGAGAGCAGCTAAAAATCCTCGGAGAGTCGTGCGTGGTTAGCTCAAAACAGAATTATAATCCCAAACGTCCCTGGTTCTTCATAACTCCAAACTCTTCATAACTCTTGGACTCTTCATTGCTCTGAAGCTTTCAGAACCGGCTGCACTCTCAATCAGCTCTCATTCCAACATCTCTCAGAACTCTCATTCTCTTGGAATTCTGGAAATCTCTCGAAATCTGACTTGAACTGGGAAGTTGTCACATTTTTAAATGAGTTTACTTCCTGTTCAATTTAGAGCTTTCTGATTCGTGGAAGGACCAGAAAGAGGAGTGGTTTTGACGTAAGGTGTTTATCAACAGTCGAGGTCAGAGAATGAAACTTGTTTAACATACAGAAAAGATTATTGCAGAAGCAGCAGACTTTTTGGAGTCTACTCTTGGTAATCTTCTGAAAAAGTTTAAACATGACATTTCTTCTTCAGTAAACATTTAGCTGACCGAAGCCTCAACTTTCACACACTTACGACAGCTTGCTCATTTCAGACAGAAAATCAAGAAAGGCATATTCAGGTGATTTCTTCTCTGAATGAGGAATAAAAATCATTACTTACTGTTTATGTAAAATAAAAATGAGTAGTTCTTTTCAACCTGTAAAGCATTGAGTGAACTAACACAATTTGATTATCAAAACATTTGTAAGACAGTAATGATTATAAAGAATTGTCTTTTCTGCTTGATTAATTCAAGAAAGAAAGACATCAGATGGCCCAGACTTATTCAGATCAATGAAAATAACAGTCTCTGTCCATCTGGTAGATTTGAGGTCATCTGGTTCACTACAGTTGACATGATTTAACCTTTTATGTTGTTAGTCTGAAATGTGTAATATAACAACACTAGATGAAATATACAGGTGAACAGATTTAGCTCACTACTTGGCAAGAAACTGGTCAGTTTTATCTTTCAGTCACCCTTAATTAACGCATAATAAACAGTTATTAATGATTTTTTAAAAGTGTTTGTAGAGGGTGACCCGACTGAGAATTATTGGATTTGATATCTGGATGATTGAGCATGAACTTTGTTGCCTTGAACCACTTTGGCTGTGGCTGTCTGCCTGGGAGGAGTTGATGGGGGATAGGACAGCCCCTAGAAACCATCTTAGCTCCAGCAAACTGGTTGGTCCACTTAAGGAGTTTACTGCTTGGTGGAGAAACAGTTTACTGGAACTCCTCAGACTGACGAAGCCCTCCGGATAGAGGGCGAAACGTCTATAAAAAAAGAAACTGTCCAGATGACCTGACTGAGAATTACTGGATTTGATACCTGGATGACTGAGCATGAACTTTGTTGTTTATAGAAGAATTAATAACATATATGAACTTTTTATTAGCCATCTATAAGGGGAACTTTATTGTTTGTTTTTTGTTGTTGTTGTTTGTTTGTTTGTTTGTTTTGTAATTCAACCTTTATTTATAGAGGTTAATCCCATTGAGCCTCGGGGACTTTTAACAATTTTTTAACAATTTAATTTGAACAATTTTTAACATTGTAAAGTGGTACTGAAGATTTTACTCTAAAATGGTTATTAAATTATTCTGTGATATGTATTCTGGCAATTTTCTGTTATTTGATAAAATTCAGGGTGTATAATGCAGATTTTCTAAGTTTTTCCATTTCCTTAATTGTTATTAAGCTTTTTGACTCAATTCCGCTCTCTGGCGGAAGCATTCATAGACGAACCTTTATTTTTCCCAAAAAATTTGGATTGTTTTAATTTATCAACAAATAATTTGTAGTGTTAATAATAATGAGGATGTTGATATACTTAGTGAAGCAACACTGTGGTACATTGTATCAGACAACGTATGTAAAACGAGTTTATTTGTGCGCTTTTTATTGTTTTCCCATTTCCATTAGATTTGACCGCAGTGGTGTTCTAAACCTGATCGTACCCCGTGTGGACGGAATCAAGTTATCGCGAGATCTTCTCGGTCTATGTGAGATCACGGAGCGGATATCCTGCCTCTTTCCCCTGGCGAACCGTCGTTGGGCCGGTTTGGCAAAATGAAGGTACTAAGTTTATCAAGTCATATTTCTTTGTGAGAGTTGACGTTTATCGAAATATTCTAGTCTAATCGAAGCCGTGATGTTAGATTTTAAAACTGACTAGGGTAATGAAAATATTGCCTCTTCGTGGCGTAGGATGCGCTTTGATTGTGACGGAGTTAGCCTGTCTAAAGTGAGCTGTGGAAACATGGCCGCCCTGCTCCAGGGTTTTGCCACATGTTAGGAGCGTTTTAACATAATTTAGCGGCGGCGGGTTGTCACGTCGTGTTGCAGTGTTAGCATAAAGGTCAAGGTTGTGTTTGTAAGGAGTTTCCACCTCTTATCTTAAGAGTAGTGTAGCTAATACAGAAGCTAACAGGCCTCTTAGCTTGTGGTTTAAACATAGTTCACATACGCTAACTTGTGTTTGAACTGCTACTTCTTTAGAAGTCACCAATTTGACAAGTTTCTGTAAAATCAGAAGCTCAACGTCACCTGGCTGCTGCATGTACCTGGGCTGTCATGACCCGGATGATGCTCATCATTAATGTTTGCTCGTTTTGCAGCTAAACATCTCGTTTCCTGCTACTGGCTGCCAGAAGCTGATTGAAGTCGACGATGAGCGAAAGCTGCGCATCTTTTACGAGAAGCGAATGGCCACGGAGGTGTCTGCTGACTCTCTGGGTGATGAGTGGAAGGTAAGTCCTCACTGTAGGGGGTTCACGTTTAACTCTGTTTAAAAGGGAGATGTTGACTCATCTGTAGTCTTTATGAGGGACGGAGTGATGCCAGGACAATGATGGTGTTTTCCAGATGCCACCAGCATTACTGGCTGAACTCTCGATTGTTCACTTCCTCGCAGTAGGTTGTGGGACAGCTCTCTGTCTTTCAAAATGTCAACTCCAAAGTAAGCTCCATTAGAATAAATGGTAAGTGATGGCTCCTAAGGTGTGTAGAGCCCAGGATACAAGGATTCAAGCCATGCATACAACAATCAGCAAAGATGTTCAGCAAACTGGCTACACAAAACACTGCTGCATGTCATACTGCTCATTTGGTTTCAAACACTCAGTTCTGTGAGACTGCAACAGAAATGTTGCAGAGATTTTTCTATTTTGAGTTGGAGTCAGACTTTTAATTTAACGCAGAGACACGGCAACACAAATACATTTCTAAACCTTCAGAAATCCAAAGACTGATGGTTTTTAACGATAACTTGCAATTATGTGACTCATCCGTCCTTCATCTTTATCCACTAATTCCTTTACGGGTCGTGGGGGTCACTGGTGCCCATATCCAGCAGTCACTGTGTGAGAGGCGGGGGACACCCTGGACATGTCTTCAGTCCACAGGGACACATGGAGACAAATGAGGATGAGCTCTAGGTGCCAGGAGGGCTGTGATCAGTCTTACATCAGGAAAACTAAAATGGCACTCGTCAAAAGGATGGCCCAGCACAGAAGATCAACATCATCAGGCCAGGACTCTGTGGTCTACACTCATCTCCAGGTCAAAGGTCACTCTGTCAGGGATGAAGATGTTCACATCCTGGATAGAGAGGAACAATTGTTTGAGAGAGGAGTAAAGGAGGCCATCTTTGTGAAGAGAAATCGTCCATCATTAAACGGGTGGAGGCCTCCGTGTTCAACTGTCCCCGTTTTACAATGCTGTGATTGCTAGTTTAATTGGGTAACCACCTCGCTGAGTGGTGACAGCTCTACCCACTGATCCACCATGCTGCCCTTAATATGATTTTTTTTTTTTCCACTAGAGATCATTTCCACCTTGTGGAAACAACACGTACCTCGTTTCATATTTGTTAGTTTTTTTTTTTTTTTTTTTCCTCTGATCCATTTATTTATCAATTTTTTTAGAACACGTACACACACAAGAAAAAAACCGTAGCAACAAAATCCCGCCCACGCCGGGTCAGACATGCAGACTTGAACTTATCAGGCGTTTTTTTTTTTTTTCAACAAATTACAAATGGCTGCCAAGTGTCCCAAAATCTCTACAGAACCTTTCAAAGTGTATCGTCTTTTCCAAATGGACACAAGATAGAACTTTATTAATCCTGCAGGAAATTGTTGTGCCAGAGTTTCAATGCAAGGGAACATGCACAAGGAATCACACATGATATTAAAATAAGAGAGGTATAAAAAATGCATTACTTCTATCATCCAGTTGTGGGGGGGGGGGGGGGGGGGGGGGCAGATCCTTCCATCTGAATAAAATAAGTAGAAAAGAGCCAAAAGCAATAGTCTCCCTTTCATACTTGCTGAAGGTTGCATCCACAGGGGCCACCCAAATACACACACTTATGATGACCATCGGTTCATGTGGTGATTAAAATCCATAATTTGTTCAACTTGGTTAAAGAAAATCTTAGATGTGGTTACTTTTTAGTTACAAATTATCTCATCGACTCAAAAGTACTTCACCTCATTTTAGAAAGTAAAGACATGAGGTACAGTTAATGGTCGGTGTTGTTTGAGGTACAAAACCAAGCTGCTTAATCTGTTGATTTCTCCATTCTAACTCACAAACGTTCTTAAATTTAAGGGGGAGAGCACAAGGTGGGCAAACAGACTGGCCTGCCCCCCCTCCCTGCATGCAGAAAGTTCTAACTTTGTGTTTTTCCTCAGGGCTACGTGGTGCGCATCAGTGGGGGCAATGACAAACAGGGCTTCCCCATGAAGCAGGGCGTTCTGACCCACGGCCGTGTGCGTCTGCTGCTCAGCAAGGGTCACTCCTGCTACCGTCCCCGCAGGACCGGCGAGCGCAAAAGGAAATCTGTCCGTGGCTGCATTGTTGACGCCAACCTCAGCGTCCTCAATTTGGTCATCGTCAAGAAAGGTATCTGCTCGAAGTGACGCTCAGACATGGTTGGACTGTGGAGTCATTGTTGATGGCTACATGGGCTGACTGGTCGTGCTGGAAAGTTTAATGAATTAAAGTTTGTTGGTTCATGAAGGCACACCATGGAGACCCTTTCTGACTGGTTCATAGTCACAAAGGGGGGACAGTGTGTTGCCAGAGTATCTGTGGAGCGTCTTACACGTGTGACCAGACCTGTTGAAGTGGATGGTTGAACTGTGGCGCGCTCTCAATGTTCTGATTTGCACAACAGCACGATTTCTTTTTATTCTTTAGCATGGGGTCGACGTTTTGTTTACGTTTCAGCTTTGAAGCCACTCCCCCCACTTTCCCTGTCCAGTTTAAGATACAGTTCAAGCTGTTGTTTGTTTTTAAAGCTTTGAATGGTCTTGCACCGCCTGATATTTAAGAACTTTTGAAAGTCCACCAGCCCAGCAGAGCTTTACAGTCTGATGGAGGTGCCTTGCTCAAGGTGCAAACAATGGGGGGGTGGGGGGTCCTTTTCTGTTGCAGGCCCAACAGCCTGGAATACTCTTCCTGTGAGTTGCGTGCCGTCTCTGATCTGGTTTTGTTTAGAGCCAAATTGAAGACCTATTTATTTAAAAGGGCTTTTGATGTTTAACTTTTAATGTTTTAATCTCTTTTTACCTTTTTATTGTGGATGTTTTTAATTTGCAGTGATTTATTGTGCCCTGTTTTTGTTTGTTTTGTCTTGTCAAGATGGCACTTTAGTCGATGCAAGGCGTTGTTGGAAGGTGCTATATAAATAAAGTTTAAGTTCCCTAAAATTATCCTAAAATTTTCAACAACTTGAAAATGTTTTGTAGTAATTTATAGTTCAAATTTAAACTCCCAGAAAAAATTTTACAACCTAAAACTGTCAGACGTTTGCATGCAGCTTTTTAAGGGGTTGTTTCTCACCTCAGTCCCCCTTTGTCATTTTAATTATCTGAGTGTGCTCCTTAAACGGAGGAGGAGCCGTGATGTCAAACAAAACGTAAACGTTGAATGGTGAACCTGACGTTTTACAGGTTAGACTCTGCCTCTAGTTTCCTCTACAGTTTTTAACATCTTCACTTTCAGTTGTTTTGGCAGGAGTACCCTAGTTATTTGTACTTTGTGCTGCTTCTGTGTGAATAATTCAACCGCCCTGACACGACACAGCCAGGGTTATCCAACTGCTGGTCTGAGGGCCACGTCCAGCCTCTTGAACAGCTCAGTCAGGCCCACCAATGAGTTTACTTAAAACTAGATTTTAACTCGTAACTTAAATTTATAGGACATTAATTGCCAGATGTCCGGCCCCTGAGCTGTGGCCCCCTGAGTGTTTGAGGCAAATAGTCCTAAAAAGAAAACTAAGCTGTCTATTAGTGGGGGGATCCTGTACCAGTTCTGGTCCTTTAGTTAAAACGAGTCTTGTTTGGTTATTAAGTGGTGATTAAACTTAATATATGATGATTAACTACACGGTTCGTGAACAATCTTAAAAAAAGTATGAAATATGTTAATATTTTCTATTTCCTATATTTTCCTAGAGGAGTGCAGAAAGACACTTGTGCTTCTACACTTTTGTGTTTTCTAAAAGATGAAACCTGAATTCCTAAAATATTTTATTCCTTCCTAAATTCTTTAACAAACGTGTTTTTTTTTTCTGAACGAGATGTTCCACTTTAATAAAAACAACTTCTGCTTTCTTTAAAACCACCTCAGTGCCTCAATGATGTTTAATGGGCTCCCAGAATTTTAACAATTTTTAATATATTTTTTAAAAATTACATATTTAAAAACTGAATGTTTGTTTTCATGCTTGTAGTGGAAAATGTCTCGTTTGCTCCAACGCTTTAGGGATTAGGGTGCAGTTAGTCCATGGATCCTGTGGTCCTGATCAAACGTAAATTTACAGTAAATGAAATGAAACGAAGGCAGCTGAGCCCAAACTGAGTCTTATCGGTGGTGTTCTGCCAGCAGGACGTGTAGTGAACACCTGATTAATTCACTCGTCCTCTGCTGTGTTCAGGTGAGAAGGACATTCCTGGGCTGACCGACAGCACTGTCCCCCGACGCCTCGGGCCCAAGAGGGCCAGCAAGATCCGCAAGCTTTTCAACCTGTCCAAGGAGGATGATGTGAGGCAGTATGTTGTGAGGAGGCCCCTGAATAAAGAAGGTGAGTTAACGTCAGCCCTGCAGCTGTGTTCAGTGTGACGCAGACATTACAGCAAAAACAGAAGAATCCTGTGCGGCTCTCTGCGTACACCGTGTTTGAAGCAACGACGTCACTGTTCAAATATCTTAGAGATTATTGAGGTTGCATGTGGTCAAAACTGGAGAACAATTTCCAAGCTTTAACATTTCGTTATTTCATACAGATGATTTAAAAATGAAAAATATGAAGACCTGATCAGGTTCATGAACAATACTGGTAATTAAATAAACTAACCGTAAAATCTGTTACTGCAGTTTTTACTTCCAGAATAAATTTAAACCTCATTAAACGGGTTAAAGTGAGGGCGGCAGGAGTGAAGTGACTCTGTTTAACATTAAAAGAATAATTAGGTTTCTATCAAAGCAGCATGCAAAGCTCTCTGGGCAAATAGACACTTTATAGTCTGATGGCATTTAAATAACGCGTTTAAAAATAGTGTCAGATTTTATGGTCTGTTTTTACTGGAAATAATCAAAAGTAAGTTTTACTAATAAAACACGTGAGTATTGTCATTGCATTAGTATGACATAAACATGCCCAGATGTTGTTTTTAATTCCATCTTTTGTTTTTATTGGTGTCAAGTGTTTATTCAAAATATCAGTTTTACTACTTGATGAGAAGCTTAAATACTTTCCTAAAACTAAGTGAGCATGCAAAGTGATTTTTAAAAACAATGACTCCTATTAGAAGTTTCTCATTTCAGCAAGAGTTTGACCTGATAAAAGAACCAGCTGTCTCTCTCAATACAATTAATTTTAATTAAAAAGCACAACGTTCTGTGATTTAGGCTGGCCCTTTTTCGTGCACCTTTATTAATAACCCCTCTCCATTAAAGGCAAGAAGCCCAGAACCAAGGCTCCCAAGATCCAGAGACTGGTGACCCCTCGTGTGCTGCAGCACAAGCGCCGCCGCATCGCTCTGAAGAGACGTCGCACCCAGAAGAACAAGGAGCAGGCCTCGGAGTACGCCAAGCTGCTCGCAAAGAGGATGAAGGTACATCTTTCTCCTGCGTTTATTCAAGTGAATCGTGTTTGGTACGTCTTAAAGGCTGTTTACGTGTAACCTGTGGCTATATGTAAACACTGAATGCAGCTGTGTCGATGATTGTTTCCTCGAATCAACATCCGAAAATCTCTGTTTCCCCTGTCATATCTTGAACTCTTATGTTTAAATTTTTTTTACTTTAAAATATGTTTTATATTTTTGTTTTCTATTGCATTAGTAAAATGATTTGGTAAACAGAAACCAAACTAGTTAGTTTAAAGATCCCAACATCTTGAGTTGATTGTTACGTTGGTTATTGGCAGACATTATTACACACTGTGTTAAATAAACTAACATTAAAAAAACATTAGCCCAGATACTTTGAGTTCCCCTGAAGTTTAAATTTGTTTCACTCGTTTTCTGCCAACAGGAGGCCAAGGAGAAGCGCCAGGAACAGATCGCCAAGAGGCGCCGCCTTTCTTCCCTGAGGGCGTCCGCATCCAAGTCAGAGTCCAGCCAGAAGTGAAATCCACAACTAAAATAAAGTCATGTTTTGCTGAAAAACTACCTGTACTTGTCTGCTTTGATGTGAGACCAGTGTATAATTTCTTGTGAGGAGTCTAAATGCTACAGATGTGTCGACGTGTAAACTAAAAACATAGAAGTTAATTTAACTTGAGCAGAAATAACCACGACTGAACGTTCAGTTTGTAAAGGTCCATCTTTACCCGTGGGATGAGTTCACATGGAATAAAAGATGAGTGACAATATTCAGAATCAGAATAAACTTTGGCATTGCACAGAGATACAAAGCGAATATGTACGTACAGTCGTCCGAAGATGGGCAGAGTGCACGAAGCTGCGGCTAAAATAATTAGCACGGCATTCTTATTCAGAATAATATTCTGCTTAGATAAGAAAAGGAAAGAAAACATGACAGTATAAAAAAAAGATTTCACACCGTGTCCTAGACGGCACAATTTGAGGCATCAAAAAAACTACCACAGCAAAGCAACATAGATGTTATACATTTACATATAGGTGGTAAAAGCATTGAATTTTTAAGGGAAAGTCGTAGCATAGTCCAGAGCCCCCCCTCAGCCATTGTCCAGATGAGGTGACATTCATCTTCAGCTCAGTTGAGGTTCTGTTACATGTCCACGGCCTTGGGGAAGGGAGTGGTGAGGAAACGAAGCATTGGTTCTTGCATTGAACTTTTCATTTCACTAACTTTTCATTCACCCTTTTATTTAGACAGGTAAATCCCATTGAGCCTCGAGGACTCATTTACAAGAGAGACCTGATTTCAGCAATGATTGATAACAATGGACAACAGCAACAATAGATTTTTTAATTTTTTTTACAAATAAGATGGCCAAAAAAAGTAACAAAAAACAGCTAGATTATATGGCGAATGTAGAAAACTTAAAAACAGGAACATATCTGCATTGGTTTTTCCCTGGAACTCTTTTTGCAAGATATTCCAGGAAACGGGAGCAGAGTAAGCAAAGGACCTTTTGCCTAGTTCAGTCCTCACTGAGGGAACACTGCAGGTAATAATGTCCTGAGAGCGCACGCTGTAGCTGCACTCACGCAGAGACATGTAGGAGGAGATGTATGAAGGCAGCAGACCAAGAAGTGATTTAAAGACGAAAATATACCAGTGAGAGTCTGTGTGAAGTTAATTATGTCCAGTTAATCAGTGAATCCAGGGTGCAGTGGTGGGTACGATAATCACAGCCAGTTATGAATCTTAGTGCACCATGATAGACAGCATCCAACATCTGCAGGGTTCTTGTAGGAGCGTTCATATAAATGTCACCGTAATTAATGGAGGGAAGGAAAGTCACAGATACAAGGCGTCCTAGCATTCAAAGGATAAGAAACCCAGTTTAACTCTGTTTTCTTACTAGATTTTCCACGTGGATCTTAGAGATATGCGAGTCGACCAAGATACCCAAATATTTATAGGAATCAAAGTCAATCGGGACACCATATGAGGATAAAATAAGAGGAATAACTGCTGGGACTGACTTCCTGTTTAAGAAAAAGCATCCCTTTGGTTTTGTCGGCATTTAAGACAAGTCTGAGGCGGAACAAATCAGACTGGATGATGTTTAATGTAGATTGTAAAAGCTGGAAAGCCTCAACTGTTTTCGCTCAACAATAAACACCCGTGTCATCAGCATAGAAATGCAAGGATGCATCAGGGATGTTTTGACCTACATTACCTATGTAGCTTGTGAAGAGGGTGGATCCTAAGACTGAGCCTTGTGGTACACTTGGCAGCCGTTTAAAACCCCTTTAGAGGTCAAGGTCGAGAGCTTTTTGCAAGACATTCCAGGAAACAGGAGCGGAGTAGGCCCTTTTGCAAAGTTCATTCTGCACTGAGGGAACACTGCATACATGCTCTCATGACATTTTACATGTCATGTTTAGCCGTTTTTGCCACTTTTGCCATCTTATTTTAATTTGTTGGAAAAAAAAAAAAAAAAAAACTATGCCTTTTTGTAATAGTCTATTGTTGTTGCCCACTGTCATTCTTTGTTGAAATCATGTCTTTCTTGTAAATGAGTCCTCGAGGCTCAATGGGATTAACTGTCTCAAAGGTTGAATGAATGTCACGAGTGCACGCTGTAGCTGCACTCACGAAGCAACATCTAGGATATATCTGAAGACAACGGACCAATAAGTGATTTAAAAATGAAAATTTACGAGTAGTTTACCATCTGACCAGTGAATACAGTGATGGGTCCAGTAGTTACAGCCAGTTAAAGTACAGATAGCATCTCAGCATTTGTAAAGGTGCTTGCAGAAGCGTTCATGTAAATAATGTCGCTGTAGTCAATGGAGGGAAGGAAAAGTAGCAGGCGTTTCCTAGAGTTCAAAGTTAGGATCTAAAAATAAACAGTTTTACTTCAGTTTCTTTAAGTTTTCAACATGAGGCTTAAAAGGTATGTTAATTGACCAAGATAAAGTATTTGTAAGAATTGACTAACACCATTTGAAGATCAGAAGCAAGGACTGTTGGGACAGATGCTTTGTTTGAGAACATCCCTTTTGTTTCATCAGCATTTACCAGTTTGAGATGGAACATCTGACTGGATGTCAAATGCAGACTGTAAAAGCTGATAAACCTTAGCTGTTTTAGCTCAACTGTGTCACCAGCATGAGTCAGGAATGATCCGACCTACATTTATTGACCTGGTGGTCAAGATGAAATGTCATCCCACATGTTTCAGAGTAGCTGAGAAACAGGATTTTCTCCAAATGTCTGGACTTCAAACCTAGCAGGACAGACTTGTCCAACTGAAGGACAAACTCAAAC